CTGTCCGAGATCGGCGCGTTCCCCGAAGCGCCGACCGCGGCACCTCAACTTGATCTACATATCGGCCGAGATGTTGGACAGCGCCCATGCAGTCTAGGCGTGCAGCCTTCCTTCGGGGCATGCCCTCCAAGACCTGTCTCTCTCTCTCTCTCTCTCTCTCTCCCCTCTCTCTCTCTCTCTCTCTCTCTCTCTCTCTCCGACCCCTGCTCCTCATGTCCCCCCTCCCCCTCCTCAGCCTGCACCTCCTCATCATCCTCCTCCTCGTCCTCCTCTTCCTCTTCGTAGCCCTTCTCCTTGTCGTCGTCCTCCTCCAGCCCAACCTCTGCCACTTTCTCACACTACTCCTCCTCCTCCCCCTCCTTCAACTCTTCGTCACAATTTTCAGCCAAGTGACGCTAGTCTTCCACTCCTTTTCCTTATGAAGAACTCTTTCCTGTCGCACCCCGAGGCCAGTCGCAAGGGCGGACCTGGCGTTTCGCCTGAGACTTCCTCACCATGATTATCCTGAAGCTTGAAATTTGCAACACCTTCACAGATGGAGAGCGGGTGGTTTTCAAAATGTGGCTCTCGCCGTAGCGCCGCGCACATTCCTGTCAAGAGTTCACGACACTTTCTACGATGCTCATGGCTCACATCCCCACAAAATGGTGCTTGGGCACGACGTCGGACGGTCAGGGCGCCACAGTTCTTCTGATCTGCAGTGCTGAAACATACCAGACATGGAGCTCTGACACGATTCGGGATCGTCTAGACGCACACTAGCGGTGATTCGGGGCGTTGCACTCCCTGGAATGGCGTTCTGGCACAATATACAAGATTCTCAAAGCTATCTCCCAACGGGGCACTTCCTTCAGCGACTAGGAATCATTGTATGGGGCCTATGCAGAGGGAACTTGAAGGGAGGGTTTATTGCAATATCGTTGATGCGTCTTGGGTTTACACTGGTCCTCCTCCTCCTCCTCCTCCTCCTCCTCCTCCACCTCCTCCTCCTCCTCCTCCTCCTCCTCCTCCTCCTCCTCCTCCTCCTCCTCCTCCTCATCATCATCAATCATCTCATCCTCATCCTCATCCTCATCATCCATCACATCATCATCATCATCATCATCATCATCATCATCATCATCATCATCATCATCATCATCATCATCATCATCATCATCATCATCATCATCATCCTCGTCCTCCTCCTCCTCCGCCACCTCCCCTCTAACCCGCATAAGCCTCGATCTCATCCCGCTCGATCTTCATCTCGTTTGACAGGCTCGGGGGCGACCTGCGCACAAGAACAATGGGCCGCGCGGGTCGCTGCCGCCGCCGCCCGCCGGTCGCCGGCCGTCGTCGAAAGTTTTCGCGGGTCTTCGCCGTCCTCGCCTCATCGTCGCCGTCCTCTCGTCGTCGGAGGGAGGGAGGGAGGGAGGGAGGGAGGGATGAGGGGCAAGGGCGGTCCTCTCGAGGCAGAGCCCATGGGCCTGTGGGGATGGTACAACACTGCGACGGCAGCACACGACGCGTGCGATCGCCGCAGCATGGCGCGAGGACCTCGGGGGCCCACCCCTGGTCACCGGAGGCCGCAAGGAGGGGACACCTTGGCCAAGAAGGAGCCCCACTGCAAGGTGCTGCGCACACCCCGCCAGCAGAGTGTGAAACCGCACGCCCTTGCCAGAGGCGGGGGCCTGTCCGAGAGGGCAGCGAGGGGGTGCTGCTCCGTCGGGGGGCTCCTGGAGGCCTGGCCGAGACCCTGGAGGCCGCCCGAGGAGGGAAAGGAGCAGCACCGTCCAAAATACCCAGGGCGGACGGAAGGAGGGGATAGCAGAGGGGGGGGGGGCAGGAAATCGGCTCACCTGCTCGGCTACTCAGCTGGTCCTGCTGGCGCCTCCCGGAGCCAGAGGCGCCCGTGCATCGAGCGAGGAAGGCGCCTGGCGCCGGGGCCGAAGCCAGCTGCCCAAAGCAGAGTTTGCACTCCCCCACCGCTTTCGTTCGACCCGACCCCTGGAAGTCTTCACGCGGCTCCTGGATAGATGCCTGGCCGAGATGGGGGCCGGCACCCACCCCCAGAGCCCTGGCCTCCTGGACAACCGCCAATGTGACCGAGGCAATCCGCGACCTCAGAGCCAGCGACCCCTTCTCCGAGGGTGGGTTTGCGTCCCGGGCCCATATTCGATCGGCCTTGGGGTCAGGTCGGGCGTGTCCTCCTACAGGCGGATGTTTGAAGAAACATGAGAAAATTGCAAAAACGAGTAAGAAGAATCCAGAGAGCACAGAAAACTGTCACCAGGCTGTTCTTAAACTATTCTTGGATACTCCTCCTGTGGAGGGACATGCCCGACCTCACGAAGGATTGCAAACAAAAAAAAGGATTGCAAAAAAAAAGGATTGCAATCCTTTTTTGTTTGCAATCCTTTTTGTTTGCATTTTTTTTGTTTGCAATGCTTTTTTTGTTTGCAATCCTTTTTTTTGCAATCCTTTTTTTGCAGTCATTCTTTTTTGCAGCTCCCCAGGGCCGCGATCGAGGAAGAGCGCGGAGCTCGTGCAGGTCACGTCTGTCGGAGGTCTGCGCCCCGCAGGCGACCACCAAGCCCCCGGGGGCGGCCGCACGGGGGCTCCCTCTGCCCTGGCCTGCGCCCACCCCCCCGCTGCCGTCTCCAGGCTTCTGTTGCTCCCCTCGTACGGCAGGTTCGTGTCGTGCCGACCCCAGCGTTGGTTTTTGACACCGCAGGGATCGTTCAACCTTGAACGATCGGCCGCTGCCGCAACGTCCGATCGTTCAACGTCGATCGATTCTGGGTCGCCGGCGGCGTTCAACCTTGAACGCCCGCGCTGGGGTCGCCGCGGGTCGACACGACGCAAACCTACCATACTTGAGGACCACATCCCAGAAATAATTTCGAGCACCCGGAAAAGTGTCGAAGGAGTGTCGAAGGAGTGCCGAAAGAGTGTCGAAGCAGTGTCGGACGAGCCTCCCAGGGTCCGACACGTGAAAACCATTGAGTTTTGGGGTACCTTTCTGTTGCTCGAAATTCTTTCTGATGGTCAAGGCTAAAGTAGGTTGGAACATCATAACTCTAGACAAGCACGTTCCACTACACGCGAAGTAACCTACTCGCAAATGGCTTGGATCCGCCGCCAGGGTTTCGCGATCCATTACACAGAGGAGGACATGTTTTTTTTCTGACGTTGGCGAGTAGGCACTTTGTGAGTAGAACAAGTCGCGTCACAGTTAACGTGACAAATTTGTAGGCCCGACTCGAGGGATTACTCCTACCGGTCACCACATACGTCTTACCCCTCAACCTCCGCCCAATCCCCCTCCGCTTCCCCCCTGCTTATCCTCCTCCTTCTCCTCCTCCTCCTCCTCCAGCCTCCATCCATCGACCCTCCTGCCATGCAGCCTCCTTCCATCCTCCTCCAGCCTTCATCCATCCACCCTCCATCTGGCCATCCAGCGCCCCCCCATGCAGTGTCCCTCCAGCCGCCCTCCACCCGTCCAGACATCCACCCCTTTCTCAGTCCTCCTATTCGCCACCCTTCTTCCACCAAGCCTCACTCCAACCAGAGTCCATGCATCCATCCTCCATCAAGCCTCCCTCTTCCCAACCCCACCCCTCCCTCCATCCAACGTGCATCCATCCAGACTCCCTCCTGCCTACCTCATTCCATCCAGACTCCTGCCAATCAGCCTTTCTCCATCCTCCCTCCATCGAGCATCCCTGTTACCTCACCCTCCCCTCCCTCCATCCAGGCCGCCACCATCCAGGCTCCTCCGCCAGCCTCCCTCCATGCCTCCATCCTTCCTTCCATCCATCCCCCCTCCGTGCAGGTACAATCCGAGCACCAATACATCATGGGCGCCTCTATCCCTCCTTCGATTCATAGTCACGTCAAGGCAGATTGTATCCTCTTATCCTTCTCCGTCCACCTCCTCCTCTCCTCATCCTGGCTCCTCCTCCTCCTCCTCCCTCCTCGTCCTCCTCGTTACATTTATCGTCGTCGTCATCCTCGTCCTCCTCTTGTTCCTCCTCCTCCTTGTCAGAATCATCATCGGTATCATGATGAGCATGAGCATCAGCAGCAGCAACATCAGTACAGCATCATCAAAATCGTCATCATCACCAGCATTACCATCACAAACCTAATCACCAACAGCATCATCAGCATCACCATAATCATGACATTCATCGCCAGCATCATCATCATCAGCAGCATCATCATAATCATCACCATCAACGTCATCATCAACATCATCATCACCAACATCATCATCATCATCATCATCATCATCATCATCATCATCATCATCATCATCATCATCATCATCATCATCATCATCATCATCATCATCATCATCATCCTACTCATCCTCCTGCTCCTCCTCTTCCTCCTCCCTCCTCCCTCCTCCCTCCTCCTCGTCGTCTTCCTCATCCTCATCATCCCCATTATCCTCCTCCTCCCCCTTCTCCTCCTCCTTGTTCCCTACTCCTCCTCCTCCTCCTCCTCCTCCTCCTCCTCCTCCTCCTCCTCGTCCTCCTCCTCCTCCTCCTCCTTCTATGACTCCTCTTCGTAATCATCACAGACGTTGTCTGGTAAAGAAATGCGCGCCGGCTGTCTTGTAAAGCTGTCTGGTAAGGAAATGCCTGCGGCTGTCTGGTAGGGAATTGCGCGCCGGCTTTCTGGTAAGGAAACGCCTGCCTGCTCTCCAGAGTGTCCGCTGGCTGTCCGACGACTGCCTGGTGAAGAAATGCATGCGACTGTCTGGTAGGGAATTGCGTGCCAGCTGTCTGGTAAGGAAACGCCTGCTGGCCCTCTGACTGTCTGGTACGGGGGCATAAAGGTGGGCTTGCCCCCCCCTTCTCCAAAGTTGACGCAGAACCTGACCTGACCTGGGGCAGACGCTGGCGATCCACGCGCCCTCAACTTTGGAGGGGGGGGGGGGGCGGAAGTTGCGCGAGGAGGAGAAGGAGAAGGAGGCGGCGGAGGACCAGTGCAAACCCAAGACGTATCAACGATATTGCAACACACCTTCCCTTCAAGGATCCTTTTCATAGGCCCCTACAAAGGGCCATCTTCACTGGGGAAAGACCCCCCCGTTGGAATACGACCGTCCTCGGATGCCAGCGCCACGAATCACAGTCACTATTGCGATTCGGCGATCCTGCATCGTGTCAGAACACCATTCGTGGGACTCAAACGTAGAAGAGGAATTCTGGACGCTTCGCGCATCCCCGCCAGCCCAGTGCGCTTCTCAACTTTCGCGGGAAGGGGGGTCGTCACACGTGCCCCTCTCCAGTCTGAAGGGCCTGGCCGCCCAGCGCGGTGTCAAGTGCATTGCGACGCGGCTTGTGCAACGCGCTCGCTGCCGTCTCCGCCCGTCGATCCCTCCTCCCCACCCTCGCCCGCCTCAGCCCCGAGCACTTTTTTTCACTCGCGGCGATAGCGGGCGTTATGGGGGGGGAATGGCATAACGTACCGCCCCCCCCCCCGCCGTGGGGGTCTGGCACCACAGACGACTGTGGTGCCGGACGCACTGCGGCAATGCCGGGGGCGCACTGAGGGGAGGGGGGGGGGGGGCGTCCGTCAGAAAGGGGGAGTGGAGGGCGGGCATAACGCGCGTCTTTTGGCCCAGAGGGCAAAAAAAACAGCACTCTCCACCCAGACCTTGCCCGCAGATCAAGAGCGATGAGGAAGTCCACGGCCACGGCCAGCCTCCCGGTCATTAGCTCGGAGGCACGGCCCGAAACCCAGAGCTCCGTCCTGAGCCCGCAGTGGTCCCCACGTCCTCCTCCTCCTCGTCCTCCTCGTCCTCCTCCTCGTCCTCCTCCTCCTCCTCCTCCTCCTCCCCCCCTCCTCCTCCTCCCCCCTCCTCCTCCTCCTCCTCCTCCTCCTCCTCCTCCTCCTCCTCCTCCTCCTCCTCAACCTAAACCTCCTGCCTCTTCCCCTCCTCCTCCTCCTCCTCCTCCAGGACCGCGCTGGGCCGCTCGCACGCGTCAGGCGCTCACGGGTCGCAGCCCAACCCTGCGCGTTGGCAGGATGCCCGCGCGTTTTGTCTGGGACAGCCAAGCCGCGGGCGCCTTGGCTGCACGAGAAGTCCACGATTGAGAAGACGCCGTTTGCAACGGGCCATGCCGGCGGGGGCCACGAGGGGCCCCCAGACCCCCAGAGGAAGAAGGACCTGTGGGACCTTCTTCCTCGCCACCTCCTCGAGGAAGAAGATCCCACAGGCCCTTCTTCCTCGCCACCCCCTCCAGGAAGAAGGACCCGTGGGGCCCCCGGACCCCGCCCGGCCGCCCAGAGGGCTCGGGACCTCACCCAGAGGCTCGGGGTCCTCGGCCCTCGAGCCTCGAGCCTGAGGAGGAGCCGGCGACGCCCCTCTGCACTGCGCGAACCACCTCCCCACCCCACTCCTGCTCCAAGAGGCCCCCCCGATGAAGGCCGCGCGGGCGGGTCTGTTGTTGCGCGGGGGCCCAGCGCCAGGCAGGGCTCGACGGCGCGCTCCGACCTCGAGGCCTGGGCTCGAGGCCTCGAGGCCTCGAGGCCTCGACGCGCGCACTCCTGCTGAGCCCCACCCCTCCACCACCAGCTCCACCTCCACCACGACATCCTCCTCCTCGTCCTCCTTGCCCGACCGTCGACGCCATGACACGAGCGTGGCGCCGTAAAGAACACACTGCAAGGGCTCACGACACCATCTCTGGGCAGATCTTGTCCGAGCTGGATCCATCCGCTGGGGTCCCAGGCCCCACCCGCCACTGTGAGCTTGTTGTTTTCACGACACCCGGGCAGCTGATCCCATCTACATCCTTTATCTAAAGAAGGGGCAGATCCCAACCCCACTTTGGGTCAGCCCCGCTGCGTGCCAGCCCGCATCAGAGCTGCCGCCAGGTGGAGGGGGCGAAGGAAAGCTGGTGGTTGGTATGACTTGGTGGTGGCGGCTCAGAAGCGAAGGCGAGGGTCGAAAGCTGCCCTCTGCTTCCCAGATCACTGACGCCGGCGGCTTCCCTGAAAGTAACCCCCAAGAGCACCCGACTTCTCGACCCCTTCCCTGGAACCAGCTCCTCATCTCGAGCCGCCTTCTGACGGTCCCCAGGGGTCCGGAACGGGGCTCAAGAGGCTGAGCGCGTGGGAACACGCCAGAGGCCCAGGTCCTCCCCCATCGACGTGGGGCGCTCAAAGTAACCCTCATTTGGGCCTGCCCAAATGCGTGCGCTGCTCCAGAACTTCGAGGGGTGATCCAGCCGTGGCGACGAGAGACTCCAACGCAGCAAGAAACTTTGACCCTCGATCCTCGACGACGATGCCGCCGCCGACGCCGACGGCGGCCGCGACGACATGAGGGGCAACGGTAGGGGGGGACTCGCTCGGGAGGGGAAAGCATCGACCTGGAATCGGCGATACATCGCCGATAGATCGGCGATAGGCCCCTATCGGCGATCAACAGGCGCTTGGGTGTCGATGCATTCCCCCTCTGAGCCCCCCCTACCGTTGCCCCGGAGGAGTGCACGTGCTGCCCCGGAACTTCGAAGGGTAATCCAGCCGTGGCGACGAGAGCGCCCCAGGGAGGCCCAGGCATCGGACATGAGACATCGTCGGACATCGGCCTACAGTCGAGGTGCCGCGGGGCACTGCAGGTGGGCGCCGGGGCGCCGCTCTGACTGACAATGAGCGGCAGCGAAACAGAAGCACAAGCGAACGAGAGGAGAACGAGAGAGAGAGAGAGAGAGCAAGAGAGTGGGAGAGAATGAACGAGACAGAGGATGGACACAGGACAGCAGCATTGTGTGGACCAACCTTCAACATGGATGGAGGCCCAGAGGGGCTCCCAAAGGCATCAAGACAGCCCGACCCTCGACGACACGACGCCGCCGACGACGGCGGCGGACGCGCGCACGGCGCGCACACCGATCGTGGCCCGACGCGGCGGGGGCGCCCCCGCGGGGGTGAAAAAAACGCTGCCCCGCAGCAAAAAACAGCTGCCGGGGCGGGGCGGCGCGAGCGAGGCGGCGGCCCCTGCCTGAAAGCTCCGTGGGGCCGCAGCTCTGTTCGCACATAGAGCGTGCGGCTGCTCACGACGTTCCATTTTCTCGCCCGCGTCGTCGTCCTCCTCCTCCTCCTCCTCCTCCGCCTCCTCCTCCCCCTCCTCCTCCCCCTCCTCCTCCTCCTCCTCCTCCTCCTCCTCCTCCTCCTTCTCCTCCTCCTCCTCCTCCTCCTCCTCCTCATCGTCGTCCTTGTCGCCGTCGCAGTCGCCGTCGCCGCCGCCGTCACTGACGCCGCCACCGCCGCCGCCGTCGCCGCAGCCGTCGTCATCGTCGTCGTCGTTGCCACACCGCCGCGAGCCGCCACCGCCGCCGCTGCCTGGCCTCCGAGTGCACGGCCGTCCACGGCGGCGGCATGGCCGAGAACCAGCCGAACCGACAGCGACACCGCCAACAACCGACAGGACGCAATCAGCCCAGCAGGGCGCAGCGACGGCGACGCGGCAGCCCCACAGCAGCCGACCGAGCCGAGCCGACCGGACCCAACCGACTGCGACGTGGCCGAACCGACCCAACCGTGAAAACTCTTGGATCGAGGGGAACGCGGAGACACGCACAAATCTGCACAAATTGCAGCATTCCAGTTTTTGGGCACTTATTCCTGGATTTTCCCTTTCCCCTCCATTCCCCAAATGTCGCCGCGCCGTTTGTCTCGAACGCGCCCAAATCGACGACGCGGGCACCACGGCAAACCCACACAGAGAGCCCTGGGTCCCGCACCCCAAATGGACGACGCCGCAACGCGGCAAACCACACAGCGAGCCCACCGCGCCCGAGGCGGCGTTTGCCCTGGTGGCCGTGGCGCCCCCCCCAAGACGCGAGGCCGCACGTCGGAACAAACGGCGCGGCGACTGATTTTCAGAACCATCGACGTTTAGATGTGGTCGTGCCCAGTTGTCCCTGCCGCTTGTGGTGGCCCCAGGGGCGCCAGCGGCAAAGAGAGCCGCCGACGGCCGCTGGACGGCCGCTGGCACCGCCGCCAAGGGGGGCGGGCCGGCGGCCCGATCGATGGCGCCCTCCGCCGCCCAGGGACGGACGTCTGGGGCGAGGCGAAGGCTTTGGGCACGGAGGCACAGTGGAGACCAGTCCACAGGAAACCTTCCACCTGGTCCGCTTCACCACCCGCATCCTCATCGTTGGCATCACCCACACACTTCACTCCATCAGCATCATAGTCATCATCATCATCATCGTCATCATCACCACCACCACCATCATCAGCAGCAGCATCAGCAGCAGCATCTGTATCAGCAGCAGCATCTTCATCAGAATCATCATCCTCAACAACATCACAATCATCATCATCATCATCATCGACATCCTCATATCATCATCAGCATCATCGTCGTCGTCGCCGTCGTCATCATTGTCATCGTCATCGTCATCATCGTCACCCTAATCGGCAGCATCATCAGAATCACCATCACAGTCATCCTCGTCATCATCAGAATCATCAGCATCAGCATCATCATTATCAGTATCATCATCTTCTTCGTCATCATCATCCACATTCAAGTCGTCATCACCATCAACAATATATCATCGTTGTCAGCATCGTCGATATCATCCATGCCATCGCCATCATCATAACCATCAGCATCATCATCATCATCATCATCATCATCATCATCATCATCATCATCATCATCATCATCGGCATCATCATCAGCATCCGCATCGTCGTCATGATCGTCGTCATCATCATCAGCAGCATCATCATCTTCATCATCGTCGTCAGCGTCATCAGCAACTGCATCGCCATCTTCATAATCAATATCGCCATCGCCAGAAGCATAGCCATAGCCGTCACCATCATCATCGCGTTCCTCAGCATCACCACCCTCAAAATCATCAGCGCCGTCATCATAATCAGCATCATCAGCATCATCAACATCATCATAATCACCGTCATCGTCATCGCCCGCATCGTCGTCATCATTATGTTTATCGTCCTCACCATCGTCATCATCATA